CTTCTATATTTGTAACAATGTTTCAAACTGCAAGCTCAGAGGCCGGCAAGGCAGGCAGAGAACGTTGGTTTCCTCCGTCACTGAAGCAAGCAAGCCTCATGTTAGCTTCAAGTTGCCTGGCTGCTGGCCGCCATCTTGGCTGGCAGTTAATTTGCATATCTCGCTGATTAGCCAATGGGAAGGGTAGCGGACGTATGCTAATTACCATGTTTCTCTTTTATTAGATAGGATTGTTGATGCTGGCTATTGCTCATCGTCTCAGATCTTCTTTGTTTCATCTCTCTGTTTGGGCTGGTTTGGGTTTCATAGCTTGGTGGCTGCTTTCAAGGGTCAGTGTCCTAAGACAAGAGAGAGGATCAGGTAGAAGAGTATCACCTTTTGTGATCCAGCCTTGGAAGTCCTGTGACCTCATTTATGCTGTATTTTCTTTGTTGAAGCAGTTAGGAATCCTCATGAAGTTGAAGGGAAGAGGAGGGCAGGAAACTGATTCTTGTTGGGGAAGAGTAAATAGAGTTCTGGAAGTTCACTGCAGTGACCATTTTTGTAAAATACAGCTTGCTGTAGGCTGAAAATCCTCTTTGGATTTTGCCTCTGTCTTTCAGTGATAGTTGTAAACCACCTGACACAGTTGGTTGTAACAGCTGCTTTATGGTAAATAATGAAAACAAGAGCACTCTTCTGTCTTCTTTTAGTTTGCATAGTTATCTCAGCTTTTAAATGAACAGTTCTCTAACCTTTGGGCTACTCTAACATTATCAAATTAAGGGAAGGTTTTGGTTAAGCTAGATCCCCTCCCCCCAAAAAAGCCCCACCTTTATGTGCATGGACATAGTTGAAAACTTTTATATGAGAAGAGGAGATAGCCCCTTTCAAACATTAATATTATCCTATATAATAAAACCCTAATATGCAAATCGACCGAATGGTGGGACAACCAGTGGAATGACCGGTTGCTATGATGTGCACTGACTACCAGGGGGCAGATCCTCAATGCAGGAGCTGGCCCCTGGTGGTCAGTGGGCTCCCACAGGGGGAGCTCTGCTCAGCCACAAGCCAGGCTCACAGCTGGCAAGCACAGTGGTGGTAGTGGGAGCCTCTCCTGCCTCCACAGCAGCGCTAAGGAGCAGTGAGCAGGTGGGTGGCAAGGAATGAGGGGTCCCGGACTGCAAGAGGGCACAGGCTGGGCTGAGGAAACCTCCCCCCATCCCGTGCACAAATTTAATGCACCGGGCCTCTAGTTAGTAAATGAAAACTAGATGTTCTGATAAGTTTTACTACATAGATAAACAAAAATGAGTTAAAAGCCTTAAGTTGAAAAATACATATTGAAGATAATACTAAACTTAGAATTAAAAAATAAATCACTCATTAATTTTACTTCCCTTAATATTATCTTCTTTCTGCTTACATTACAAACTAAGTGGTAGAATTTCTTCATTTATGGCTGGGTCACAGGACATTTGCATGTTACAACTATCTCCCTCATCCTGGTTACCTCAGAGTGAACGTGATTCTTAAGATATATCAGGGCCTAAAGTTGAGGCCTTGAACCTTGGTGTATTAACATTTATGTTAAAATACCTTCCACAGCCACAGGCAGGTAGTAAGTGTTCAAAAAGTACCAGAGTATCTCTGCTTTCTAAGGACTTATAACTGGAATGGGCATTGACCAAGGTGAGTCATGTATGTGTATGGCACTATAGCCTTTTCCCAGTTCCATTCTTTTTCCATGTGGCAGTCAGGGACAAAGGGAAAGACCAGGTGTGATTATAGTCTGTTTGATTTTTACAAGTAGACCCATTTTTTCTCAGGTTTTTGAAAATGAAGATTGTCTTATAGTTCAGAGGTCAGCAAGAAACAGCACATTGGTCCAATCAAGCACTGCTAGTTTTTATATTCTTTTCAGAAAAATAAAATGTATCTTGTAAATGTCAGTGTCACAAAAAAAATTATCTGTGTGATGCCCTCAAAGGATTTGGAAAAATATAAGTCCTCTGAGAGTTAATAAATCAAATATATATGGAAAAAGGAAATGGCCATAGTCCTCTTAAAAATTCAGATGGCTGCAATTTATGCAGATCTTGACTAATCCCAATCATCTCCTTAACATCTGTGGAAGGAATTCCTCACCAAGAAGGAGAAAGGCAGTTATAATTAAAACATGGGTTGGGGTGTGTCGCAGAGGCAAACATTGATGGTGTCCATTGTGTGATTGTTACAGAATTTACCAGGTGACTGAAAAATACACAGGCATACTTGGAGGTCCAGGATAAACCCATTTATTTTCAGATGTTTCACATGTATTAGTAGTGACTCTAGGGGTCAGTTCTCCAAATCCTGAGTAAGCCAATATGGATGAAGCTTTCTCTTTATACTCTTTGGTTTCTTTGTCTCCCAAATATGGATCATACTTCCAGGTCTTTCACGGGCTTTGCAAAAAGCCCCATGTGTTGGGATGGGGGACGTGAGACCACACCTAAAGGCCTGACCTGGTGCCAGCACTGATAACCCCCTCTGGGGGTTGTGTATTGTTCATGATTTATGGCTTCTATAAAATGTGAGTATTTATCTGACACGCATGTCATAGGTTCGCCATCACTGCTATAGGCTAATAGGAATGTACTGATTAACTAGGTACAGAGTCAGGCTGCTGGTCTCCCCCCCAAAAATGTCTTAATTTCCTCAGCATTTGCTGCAAGGGACTACACTTGACTACAGGTTTAAACACCTGGGGTTTATTTTGCTCATATAACAAGAAATTGGAGGGAGATAGTTGTTTGTGGCATTCTTTCAGCTGCTCACAATGGCAATGTTGATGGCCTTGAAATTCCATTTATCTTTTAGCCAGCAGCACTTCTCATGAACTTGTAGAATGCTAAGAGGTGGAAGGGATCTAAGAGGTCATCATGTTTGACTTTACATTTTATGTAGAAATCCCATCTTTAATGTCTCTGAAAGGTGATTCATTAGTCCCTATTTGACTGTGTTTAGCAGTGGAGCTCTCAGTACTCAGAAGACACTGTTCCATTGATAAAACACTTGCTAGAACATTGTTCTCATATAGTGAATTAAGTAGGACTTTTTCTTTTTTTCCAGAAGTGATTTCAGGTCCAAGTGCTGGATATGCTGCATTCAGAAAAAAAGCCACTAAGTATTGGCCA